ATCTATCTATCTATCTGTCTGTCTGTCTGTCTGTCTGTCTGTCTGTCTGTCTATCTATCATATTTGTATAGCTGCCCATCTCACAAAAAAGTGACTCTGGGTGGTGTACAACACTCAATTTAAAAGAAAACCAATAAATACATGCAAAACAGTCATTATTAAAACTATGAAAACTATAAAAAGCACACAGAACAAGAGAGGATGGTGTGAACCACAGTAAGGGAGCCACCTCAAAATCTGCCTGGTCCCCTGGGACCCCCAGGCCTGAAGGCATAGGCAGATCTTGAGGGGCTTATGGAATGTTGAGAGGGATGGAGCTAACCTCACTTCTAGGGGGAGAAGATTCCAGAAGGCGGGCACCATGGCAGAGAAGGCCTGCCTCCTGGGACCCGCCAAATGTGATTCTCTGACAGACGGGACTCGCAGCATGCCATCTCTGCCAGACCTGATGGAATGGGCAGATATAATCAGGGAGAGGCAGTCCCTCAGATAACCTGGCCCCATGCCATGAAGGGCTTTAAAGATCAAAACCAGCACTTTGAATTGGACCTGGAAGCAAACTGGCAATCAATGCAGCTTGCATATAGAAATGAAAAAGCAGGGGAGCAATAATCCATCCTTGTTTTATAGTCAGACTAGCATTTTCCTTTAAGATTAAGGAAATCTGGATGGTAGTAAAGAGTGGGAAGGTAGTTAAGACTGATGGGGTGGAACTACCAGCAGGCCACATAGCAAACATACAGACCAGCAACAAGTATCTTGATATCCCACAGTCACATGGGAACCACGATGAGGAGGCAAGGAAGACAGCAACATCCAGGTACCACCAAAGGATAAGACAGATCCTGAAGAGCCAGCTCATTGGGAAGAACAAGATCCATGCTATCAACACGTATGCCCTGCCAGTCATCAGATACCCTGCTGGCATAGTGAGCTGGCCAAAGGAGGACATGGAGGCTGCCAATGTGAAGATCCAGAAGCTCCTCACAATGTATGGAGGTTTCCCCCCTAAGTCCAACACCGAGAGACAGTACACCAGCCAGAAAAAGGGCAAGTGGGGTCTGGTGAGAGTCAAAGCCACTGTCTGGATGAAACCCAGAGCATCCAGGAATACATCAGTAAGATGGCACCCAAAGATGAGCTG